TGTTGAAACTTTGGTTGGAAAATAAAAAGAAAAAAAAAAACAACAAACAAACGAACAACAATTGAAGACCTAATTATTATCATTATAATCCGTAGGTGCAATGGAAAATTAAAGGCCACGCGCGCTTTTGTTTGAACGATACCAATTTGGTTGCATATATATTATATTTTTGAAAATAATATAAAATTGGTGGAAGTGAGTGAAAGTTTATGGGGGAAGAGCGAGTTTAATTTGAATTTGAAAAATTACTATTTTAATAATTAAAAAATAATAATAAAGTATAATTTTATAAATAAAAGGAAAAATAATAATTGAATTGAATAGTTGGTTGTATATGTAACTCTTTTTGAATTCTTCTTGACAAACAAATTTGTCAATTGAAAAATGGGTTGCATACGTTAATTAATTGTTAATATAGAATTTGTTCTTATGGTCGCCTATATCTCGAAAATCTGATACGAAAGGTCGTTGATTCGATTCCCAAAAACCAACATAGGGTCGAATTTCTAATAATAACTGATTCATGTCTAGAAATACCTTTATATTATCAATTGTTGCGAGAAATTACGAACCGATGTCGCTACATGGATTACTTTTGGGAAACAACGACAGAGCCTACTCGAATTTAAAAAAATACTGTCCATTCTTCAATGTTTCGAACATTTTGCTCATTAATATAAGAATTTTATTTTAAATTTACGTAAAATTAAATTTAATTGTTTAATTATCGAAAAATCATGTTTTTTTCTTTAGACAACTTACCTTGATTAACGAACATCAGCCGTCGCAAATCGAATAGGCGTAAAATGAACCCATATTTACAGTGGGTAACTATAGGGTTTAATTCTATCTAAGTGTAAAGTCAGCAATTAATAAGCGTTATTTCGCAGTGAATCGGCGCAAAACGACGTTTACCTGTATTAGCTTCTTAATTTAAAGAAAACAGTCACTAAGTGAATGACATGAAACTAAGTAGAGTAGTAATAATAAAGATGACGAGGAAAGTAATGGTTTACATAGTTATTGTTTTGTATTTTTTTTTTCGAGAACATTTTTATTAAAATGATATTTGTTCAGTGCTAAACATAAAATTAACAAAGTTAGGCACAATTTATATATATATTATCTTATTTTTTTTTCCTCAATCAATCTCTTATGCATTTGCAACTTCATTTTCATCATATATATATCATCATATCTGTTGATCACAACGGTGTGTATAAATAAACTATGTATACATATATATATATATACTGTATATAAATTGTTAATAATAATTACAAATAAGTAAAATCGTAAAATCTAAATGCAAAAAAAACAACAACAGGTCAAGTGAAAGAAACGAAACGGTTTTGCGCACAAAGAATATGCACACACGCGCACACATAGTCAGAGAGGAGACAACAATGTTAACAATGATAACAATTACAACAAAACAAAATAATCTAGTTTGTCCTAAACAAAAACAAAAAACAACTATTGTTATTTATTTGGTTACGTAGTATGCGTTATGGGAGGAGGTTTGTTTTCGCGTTGAATTCTCTCTTTCACGATTATAAAAATGTTACTTTCAACAAAGCAGGTGGTAAATCAGAGTGAGCTACTCCTCACTGAAATTAAGATTTAAAAAAATAAATCCCAACCGAAGGCAAGAAATGGAAAAAAGAAGGGTCGTACATATATATATATAAGTAAAGTAGGCCTACACGTCCTCTGAAGCTTGGCTCTCTGTCACTCTAGTTAACAAGACTATAATAGATAATTAGAACAAGTTACGCAATCATCGTTTCCCTCTTTCTTCATCTTCGTCTTCTTCGTGTTTTCTGTTTTGAGTACACAAGTAGTGTTTTTCTTTTGTTTTCTTTTCATATACATATAATATAGGATGCGTGAGAAAATTCGATGCAATGGGATTTGTTTTTGTACGAAAAAAAAAGAAAAGGTAAAAATGACGGAAAGAGGAAAACTCTCTTTCCCGGTTCTACCAAATACAGACAGACATTCCCGATTACTAACAACTAAAAGATATGTGCACAAATGGGCAGTGGCCAATAAAATACGAACTACGAACGAACTGTATTGAAATTTATCACATCTTATGTATATATAATATTTATATATTATTACTTTTCATTTTTTTTTAAATTTTGTATATCAATTTTTCTCAGTGTTTTTTTTCTTTAGTCGCAATGAGCAAAAGTAGTTATACGCAATCATCATCATCAACATCCACCCACCATTATAATTATTTATCCGCGATTTAAAGCACTTTCCTCCCTCGTCCAATCCTTCGTTAAAATTTAATTATTCTACCTAGCAATTTCGTTACTCAATTTGCTGCCGCCGGCGCGCAATCAATCAATCGACAGCAAGCTTCATCACATAATTTTCAAAAAAAAAAAGAAAGAAAGAAATTAATTAATTAAAAACACTAAAGAAAATTAGTGTAAAAGGAAACGTTCGTTCCATTAGAAAGAAGCCCTATTAAATTTCAATACAGCCCCCGACCTCTCATCACCAAGCTGTAGTACGGCTCATAATGTATATTATTTGTTTAAAACTTGTTTAACTTTACCTATTTCCTTGTATTTTTTTTTTGCTCTTAACCGAAATACCATTCCTCCGCAGTCCACATCTTCTCTTCATCAATCTACGTTAACCTACTTAATGTTTGCTATTTTTTTGGGGGATACATGAAACAAAACAACGTGCATCATTTCGATTCCGTCTTTGCCAACAAAGTGAGATGGAATTGATCTGTCGCTTAGTGATTATTTGTTGTTGTTGTTGTTTTTATGGGGATGGTAGTTGGCTCCGGACTGCGGGGCGTTTGTTTTGTTATTGTGTATTGTTTTTTTTTGGTTGTTACGTGTGTTACGTCTTGTTGTTGTTGTTGTTTCGGTTCGTTGTTTAGCAGACGACCGCCGAGATGGGGTTTTCGGTGATGTGGATGGCCGATGTCGGCCACTGCCCGGTCGAGAATTTGCTCTTCAGCAGCTCCTCTATCGAGGCTTTCCGGAATTGGGCCATTTTGGTCGGCGACAACGGGGCTACTGCAAACACAAATCACCAAAAACCATATCATATTAGTAGCCTCACAGTCATCTGCGATCTTCGCAAAACGGAATAAAACAAAAGAAATACAGAGAGAAATAGAGAGAGAGAGAGATAAACAAAAATCAATCAATTAATCAAAAAAAAAACAAAGACAATAACGAGAAAAACAAAACAATGAAACAGAGGTATGTCAAAAAAAAAGAGAAAGACAGATTTTAAAGCCCAAACATAGAATCTCGTTCGAATCAAAATGTAAATTGAAATTTAAAAAAAAAATAAATAATTGAATCATAGTTAAGTTTAATTGGTAATTTATAATGTTAATTTGAACACAACTACTCTATCGTACTATCTCTTAAGCCAAGTAAAGATTATCAACGAATGCGTATAAGGCAACGATTATAATAATTATGAACTCAATTCGCGCTATCCCGAAATGCGATTTATTGATATATTTTTACTTTGACTCGACAACAAACTCAATTAACTCATGAGACACGTTTCAAATTGTGCATAAACAAAATGAGATTCTATAAATAGCATCGTCCTTGTCACAAATCCACTAAATTTCCACTTCTAAACTAAGAAAACACGCGACGCAATTTGTGAAAAACTGACTAAACAATCTAAACAATAACGCAGCAGTCTAAGTCTCAACAACTAAGAAACACGATCTCTCTTCTTTCTAAACTGAACCGGAAACAAACCTATCCATCATCGTTTTTCAAACATTTTTTTTTATCTTTTTACAAAAAAATAACATGTTACAAATATATACATAATAAACAACACTCTTCTTAATGTTAACGGTAGTGTAAGTTGTGGTTAAATAAAAGAAACGCCATGCAAAAGAATGGAAGGTGGCTAAAAGTAAAAGCGGTTTTTTTTGTTTTTTTTTGTTAAAGCAGCCAAAATCATGGGAGATAGATTAGAAACAATTTCAAACGAATAGAGGAAAAAACGATCGAGCAAAACTCACTATGCGGTCAGGGAACGCCAACTTAATTAGTCACCTAAAAATTGTTAATTAGAATTTGTCCTTAACAACACAGGAAGAAAGGAGATATCCCCAAAACCGCGTGTTAATTCATCATATTAGTCGGGGGAAAGACAACAAGACAAGAAGTTAGCAGACAGTGTTAGTTGGGAGGAGTAATTAAAAAATAAAGATTCATAGACTTACTGTAAAACGAGCGGATACAGCAGCAGCAGATTTATTGATCTACACGTTTCTGCTTTTTTTTTTTTGTTTTGTTTTTGACTGGACTACTGACTGTGTGTGCGCTTGTTTTATGTTTGTTGTTTTGTTTTTTTTTTTCTGTTTTGGTTCGAGAAGAAGACATGATTTGGTTGGATCGGTTGTCGTCCTATTGGGATTTACCTTCGAACGAGGGGGCCGTCGAAATTTTGCTCGGCCTTCGGCCAACTTGGATCGCTAGAACAACAGCACACACGAATTGCTTCACACAAGAGATACACTTTTTTCCTCTCTTGGGTCTCTTCCTCCACTTCGATGTCTTCGTGTTAGTAAACTAATGATGGTGATGATGATGATGTTGTTGTGATGAACATAACACAAAAAGCATATTCCCCCATCTTCTTCCTGCCAATTCTCAACACGTTAATTTACATATTTATTGCACAACGTTGAGTTGAATGCTAGCAGACGATGGGGGGCTTCAAATGAATGGCTGAAATGAGTATAAATATAAAATAATAATCAATGAGGGTAATAATAATAAAAGTAACTTAAAATAACTATATAACAAAAAAAACTACTAATACATATTAATAATAATAATGTGGGTAACTTAGATTGTAAGTTGTGTAGCTACTAATAATTAAATAAATAAATAACGAATAAGGAAATGTGACGAAGACTGGAAGCAACTAAAACGTAAATAGGATAATATTAAAAGAAAACTGTGTCCAAAATTGTGCAAAAAAAGAGAAATTAAAACAGAAACCATAAAAAAATAGAAGAAATTTAAAGGTGTCGAAGAAAAATGATGAAGAAATGAAGACACCCTTCTTTCGTTTACTTTCTAATAAACACTCTTTATTCAATCATCTCATATATTCATTTTTATATATATATATATTTATTATCTTTGCATACGCAATATAACAACAATCGCCAGGCTCAATAGAATTCGAATGAAAGAGACAATGTTTTATCTTTTTTTGTTTTTTTCGTTGCTCTTCTACAGGAGGAGAATCATCCTCCAACATTCCTTCTCCAAATATAATGTTTCACAACATCATACATATTTATATAAAGCACCTTGATTTGTTAATATCAATCAATTAATTACAGTCAAGCAAAACTCGGCCCCAATAATAGTAATAATAATAGTATAGTATGATCTACATCTTAATAAATCCTCAGCCTAAACAATGGAACAAAGGACGAAAACAAACAATCAAATCATTCTTCAAATACGTATCACAATTTCTTTTTCCATCCAGAACAATCATAATTAGCTAAAAAAAAACAAAACAAAACAAACTTTTCCCCTCTTGCTGTTTTCCCTCGCATTATCCTCTTTTTTTTGTTTTTACAAATCAATATCTTTCCAAGACGGGTTCGATTTTTGGACACAGTTTAACGGAGCTCGCTGCAAATCGGTAAAGCGAAAAAGATTTTGTAAATTTCGCACGGACAGAAAAGAAAAATTGGTATATGTAAATACACAATTACAATTTTTTTTTTTTTGGGGTATGAAATATGAAATGAGAATACGTACCATGTTTCGTGTGTGAACGCGCGCACAACAATCCCAAACGCATTGCAAACGCATTGGTGAAAAGGAAACAAAGAACAGAAAGTAAACCACATGGTTTCCAAAATTTCCCACAAATCAAAGTAAAGAAAATAAACGAAAAGAAACAGGATGAAAATAAAAGATAAAAACTAAACTAAGAACGAACCCAACGTAAATCATAAATTTTGCCATAAGCCGTGTCCCTACTGATCAAACAAATATTCTTCATTTTTTTGGTTTGAATTGAAGAAAAAATTAAACGTAATTTGGCGTGTCTTTTTTTTGTGATGTGTTCGGTGTGGTGTGTGAGTGTGTAGGAATATATGAAAATCATAGAAAGTAAAAGAAAAACCGAGGAAATAGATGTGAAGCGAATAATTATTGTTCGCGCGACCAGCTTGCTATTATTTACCTTTTCTTTTTGTAAATATAAATCAATCAATAAGTTGAATTTCTACTAAAGAGACACCGATTATACATGTATAGAGAAACGCCATCTACGATCGCTACAAACCCCACATTATATGTTTATATATAATATTATAGTATTATTACATATGCGAATCATCGTAATTTCAAAAAGAATGCGAAAAGTGAAACAATGATTTCGATTATTCCCTCGTCCGTCGTTTGCTGATGCCCTCGATTTGATTATTATTAATTATATTTTGTTCGTTTTTGGAAACGGCGAGACGGCTTCGCGTTTCTTCGTTAGTTAATGGACTTACCGTAGCCTTCACCCTGCAGAAAGAGGCGGAAAGCCTCGCTCACTTTGCCGGGTTGCTCCTCGAGGACCATGCCGCAATCGGAGATCTGCAAAGAACACAAAACACGAGGATGATGTTATGCAACGGGTAAAGAGGATGAGATAGGTGCGTGGACTAACCTTCATCCAGGAGGAGTTGGTGGGATCGAGTCGACCGTTCAGGGTGACGGTGTCGTCCATGTGGGGGCTGTAGGAGCCGGTGATGTTGATGACCGGCATCCCGAGGGTCATACCCTCCTTCTTCTTGGTCAGATCCATCTCGCGCTGGATGTTGAGGTCAGTGCGACGGACGTACGAGTCGATGAACAGGGCCAGATTGGTGGCGTTCACGTTCCTCTCGAAGTAGCTCTTGTACACCTGCACCAGGTCGTGGTTCCTCTCTTCAGTGTTCTAATAATAATAATAATAATAACCAATTACATTTTGAGCATTTGCAAATCTCAAATCGATCGATTATTTACCCTGCCGAAATGGTGCCACATCAGGTAGTCGAGGACGCCCTGGGTCATGCCCTTCGATCGGAGGTGACGGGCGTTCAACTTCTGGTAACCCCACTCGATCCATCCGGCCTGGGTGCTCACGCAATTAATCAAGCAAAGGGCCGAAACCTTATTAGGATTGGTGAGGGCAAATCTGGCAAGGATGTTGGCGCCCGCCCCGACACCGAACCCGATGAACTGTTTCAACCCGAACTTGGCGAGGACGCATTCTAGCTGCGTCGCGAGCTCATCCATCGTCGGATAAACGTAGCTGAAAAAAATCAATTAATCAATTTTACATTTACATTATTAATATTATTCGCTCGCTCACTCTTCGTTAAAACTCTGGGCACCCTCCTCCTGACCCGGCGCATTCACATGGTACACGCAAAAGTTCTCCAAGAGGGCGCGCATGTCGATGTAGTTGAAGAAAGCCTGGAAACTCGAGATGTCTGCAAAACAACAACAACAACAACAACCGAATGTCAGCAAATCGAACTATCTTTTCAACGGACGAATGATTCAAATATTACAGTTGAGACCGAGATCGTGGTAGGTGAGGATCGCCGGTTTGTTGCGCGATCCTTGGATGGCGACGACGATCGGACCGTGATCCGTCGAGACGATCTCCTCGCAGGCCGACGAATCATCTCTAGACAAAGATCTGGCCGATGGGAATTGAAGCTGGATGTTCTTCAGCTCGATATCGTCCATGCTGTCGGAAGGCATCGTGCTGCACACAAATCAACAAAAACAACAACAAACGTCAGAATATATGCGAAATCATTACAGACACACAACGAAACAAAATTACATCAATAACACACCAATCACACCATTCGCATCTGGAGGAGGCAAGGTTTTTGGTATTTCTAAGGACGAGGAGTAAATGAAGGGTTTCACTTCCGACAAATAATCAAACTGTTTAAATACTCACCAGAGATTCGCTACAGCCTCAAAAACCTCATAACAAAAACTCTTCATGTGCAAACCGTTAAAATATTCTGTACCTCCAATTAACTGTCATCGCTACCAACATTTGTGTCATTTGTCAAATCCAAAGACATCTTGATTTCTTTCAATTTAAAGTGATTAATTCAGTTTGAAAAGATTTCTGTATCATTAAATAAAATTTTCGATGGAGCAGATAATTGGATTTCAACGTATTTTTAGAAACTAAATCATTTGAGTTATGACATTCCGTGTACTGAAGTATAAAGTTAATCTAATAATAATAATAACAAAAAAAAATCTAAAGCAACTAAGGTAATTTAAGAACTAGTGTGAAACAACAATAATATTCTACATTTATACAAATCGAATTTAAAACGCATTTTTTTGCTTAAGAAGAGAACGATGAAATCGTGTGTGGTCATGTGTATATTTATTATATTGCGGTTGTCGTAGCAACACGCGAGAGTGCGATGTATCTTACCCCAAAAGGGCGGCTTCTTCGGCAACACCTGAAGTAGGCATTTTTCTACAAGTGTTAGTATTAGCACTGTCAGTCCTAAAACAAAAACAAACTTAGGAGAAAAAAAAAAACAAAATAAAAACGGAAAAAATAATACACGGCACGGAAATAATACATGTGGTGAACGGACACCGTGTGGAGAGTTAATTCGTTTTTGCTCCGTCCATGAAAGATATAGTTAGTTTTGTAAGAGAGGTAGAAATGTCTGTGTGTTTAAGAAAAAGAGAGAGGAGAAGAAACCGCTTTCTGTTGGTCAGAGACAGACAGACAGATCACCACCACCTGATTCTTTCTAGTTCTGTCCGGTTCAATCTCGAATTATTCAATACGAGTAAGTGTGTGTAAGTCTGTTTGTATCTGCACTTAATATCAACGAAACAACAAACAAATATTAATAATAATAATAGTAGTAGTAGTCATAATAATAATACTAGAGTGTTATTAATGTGTTGTATAAATTGTGAGAGGCGAATGTGTGTTATGTCTGTTAATAAATTCGACGATGAGCGTTGTTAGTCGCCTCTAAATATAAACCAATTAACCAGTGTTAATTAGCGACCGTCCCAATTAAATGCAGCGCAGAATAAACAACAAGCATAGATGCAGATAAATTAGACGTAAACAGAAAACTTACGCAGATAACACAACGTTTTCTCGTTTCTTTGCCGTCGAATAAAGGTGTTATGTAATAATATTAATATTATTAACAAATAAAACTGAGTTTCGAACGTGTTAGAATTACCACCAAAAGTGTTAACGCAATCGTGAGAGAGAGAAGTGAATTGCACAACACAATGGAGAGGCCACAATAAGTAAAGCGAACGAAACCAACAACAACAAACAAAAAAATAAAATAAAACATGCTGCATGCTATATAGTAGTCATCATCGTACCTTCTTACCTTACCTGTGATTCGATTCTACATTCCGCGAGTTCAAACAAACAAAAAAGAAAAGAAAAACGCGCAGCAGTAAAAACAAAACGATAAGTAAAACAAAACGCGCGTTAATCATAGCCCCCTCCTCCTCCTCCTTCCTTACTTATCGCGTAATAACAATACATAAAGCTGAGTTACGATCTAAACCAAATCAAACTACTAATTGCGCGATGATTAGTAATCGAAATTCCCACTGCCATTGTTGTTGTTATTTACTAATGTTCTTGGTCGATTCGATCTATGATGATGATTCGCACTTTTCGTATCTCATTAGTAAAAGGAAGGAAATCAAAATTAATTTTGGGAAGAAATTCATGGAAAAAACTAATTTTTGGGATTAGTTTAAAATGAAATTAATCAAAAGATATTTCGAAAATTTCAATAACCAAATATTATCAGAAATTCTTGCACAAATAGTAAAAAAAAACGTTTTTTAGATCATTGAAATTGAAAACATAAATGAATGATATTCATTTTGGTGGAATTTGCGGAATGCGAAATGTAAATTACGTCGGGGAAAAATATGTTTACGTTATTAGTTTCCGACGTTTTTTTAAGACTAGAAAATTCGAGCATAATATTTACAAATAATTATCTTTATTTCTTTTTCGAGGACAAACTGAATGATTGCAAACTAATATTAATAGAAAAATCAATGAGGAAATTTAAAATGTCGTTTGAGTAAAGTTGACATAATAATCGCATTAGTTTAATTATCTTAAAACACTCTTTATAATTTTAAGATTAAATTTACTAAGTGTAAAGAAATTACAAAATAATACCTTTCTGCAATTCTGTAAACTTATTGATAACTTGGAGCCAAACTTTAAAGTTTTCACCTAGTCGATGAAGACTCGATGAAAAACTGAATTAAATTTACTTCAGAGCTGTTCAGTTCAAGTTGCAGCCTTCAAATGAAAAACGGCCAAGTAAATATGTTTACGATTTCCGCACGTAAAAGTCTTTCTATATTCATATTTAAAACGTAATTTAGAACCAAAAATATTTACGAGAATTAAATGAAGATTTAAAATAGAAATTTGTTAAAAAACGAATAATAATTATATAAACACAAGAGTATTGAGTAAATAAGTTAAATTTAAGTTGTTTTAAATGTGAGACGTTTACGTCAAATTGACAAATGAATGAATTAATGAATATTCAGTTGTTTTAAGGAATTTTGAGACAATTGAGAGTTGAAAGAAATGATAGCGTATGAATCTGGGAAATCCGAGAGGGCGTTGGAGAAAAATCAATAGCTGGGATGTGCAAGCTGTTTCCAATAGCGGGGAGTCGGGAAGTGAATCTGTTCCTAACTATGTCTGCAAATGGACAAACTCGTACAGGAAGAGAGAACAAAAAAATAGGTTTTGCGGAGGAAATCAATAGGTTCGAGGATGAGATGAGAAACGAAGAGTTGGCGATTTATTATTAGTATTTGGTTGTTATTTCCCATCCGAAAGATCTCACATAGATAGAGAGAGAGTGAGAGAGATGTATAAGAAGTCTGTTAGTGAGAGGGTTTTGGTCGGTTCTTCCTGAACTCTGTGGGGCGTCATCGTCGTTGTTCACTCATACTCTACCTGATCTGCAGAAGATGCTGCTGCTGCTTGCTGTCAATGAGTCGTTCGTCCTTCTGGGATGCAGACGAAGAAGTGCTGACAAAATTAAAGGCCTTCTTGACGGTGTCGAGGACTGTCGAAGAGGAATTAGAGGCGGCGTTGGCTGAGGAAGTTGCTACCGTCGTCGTGGCGCGATACACGTCCCCACCGGAGCCGCCCAGCGACCTGTACGACCCCCCAATGCTCCCCGGCATCTTGCAACAACCCCCTTTCTCTTCTTCTTGCACTCTCTGCCACGCGTGACACCCCAGAGATTTAAGCCCAGCACAGTAACAAATAACAACAACGTACCAAATAATTATCATCAAGGAAAGACAACAAAGAAAACAAAACTTTTTAAATTAAATATATAAATCTTAAATCTATAACCAATTTCCCACCGAATTGCTCTTTTCAACCCATTCAAAAATTAACTTTGCATTAAATTAACAAATTTAATTCCAACGTAATTCAAACCCAAATTGGATAACACGCAAAGTATGGATAAAATAGAAGGAAAATTCACTTGATTACGAAATTACTGGATAAAATGAGTGTTGAGTTCCTCTAATTTACAAACATGAATCACAAATTACAACACAAAGTTTCGTTGTTCATTGTTACATCTTATGTTTGCTCTTGATTGGGTTGTTTAAACGTACTGCTTCATACATTTGCAATTATTCAGAAATTCAGTGGATTATTCGGTTATCTGCATTCCGAATTTCTTGCGCAAGATGAATTCTAATTAATCTTTGTTTGTTTGTTCGTCGTGTACCATTAGATAATTGAAGCCAACCTACGCGATTCGAGAGAAGGCGGAGTGCGAGAAAATGGTCCACTTCCTCGTGCAACCAAATCTCAATTAAAGTCTCCTTTATAATTTCTCTTCCTGCTTGCAAGCAGAGCGGGCGGACGGTCGGCAGTTTGTTTGAGACAGACTAAATTTAAACAGCGAATATTCTAATTTCGGTTCATTCCATCGTGGAAAACGACCCAGAATGTATCGGAAAATCAGCGAAACTGGGTTCTCTTCCTCCTCCCAGTTTGTAGAAACGAGTGCAGTATCGATCTTGCACATAAACGTGCAAAGATATACCGTACATAGAGATATATTAATATATTCATATATATATATAGATAGAGCATGCAAAAAAGCACACTTAGAGCTCTTGATAATTTGCTAAAGCCAAAATTAAACAACAACAAAAAACAAACAAATCAAATTGGTAGTACTGGTGCTAAAATAATCATGTTTCATGCACGAGACAGACAATCAAATCTATATAAGAAGAGACAAGAGCGAGCGAAAGTGATTTGATATTTAAATCTTTATTTTTAGGAAAACGATTAGTCTATTCAGCGCGGATCGATGATTGCTCAATGCTTTAAAGGAGGGTAAACAACATCGTTTGCATCGAAGCAGTCGCTTCGTTAATCAAAATAAATAAAACAAGTGTCGGTCGACGGCTGTGCATAAATACCGGTTAAAATTAGACTGCGAAAATAAACGAAAATATGCGTAGAACGAACATTTCGTTCACGAGTTTGAGAGTTGAAGATAGAAAGAACTTATCTGCAACGCAAATGAAGTCATCTTAACCGATAACTAGTCTTAATCATAACGAAATGTCGATAAAAATAATTGCACTTCATCGAATTTTCAAGTATTGTTGTTTCAACTTTAACTTTGCGGATTTGATTACAATTAAAAACGCATTTGAGACTAATAACATGAACATAATTTTCATATCATTAGAATAAAGTACTCTTAACAAATCACTTAAGAATACTTGTACTTTTGGATACGTGATTTGAAGTTAATTGCTGCTATAAAAAGAAACTGTAATAAGCAATAAACAGCGAATCGATAATAGCGTAGGCTTGCTCGATTATGTATTAACGCAAATGTAACTTATCAATATGTAACGTCGAGTCGAAGACTCAATCGAAATACATTAAAATTGCATTAGCAAATAGCTTAAAAGTTAAGTATTCGCCCGATTTCACACCAGAATTTTCATAAAACAATTGATTCAACAGTCATAGTTGTCAAGCTTGTAATTTGAAGTTAATAAATGTCAGAGAAACGTCAATACGCAGTTCAAGTCAATTGATTGTGAAAGCAAACGAATCGATATTCCTTTCCAAAAAAAAGGCGTATTTACTTGGTTGGATACAAAGTGAATCAATAATTTGGCTTTTTGTTTGATAATTGCTGAAAAAATTTGTAATTTACGGAAATGGGGCAACGAGCTAAATTATGTACAGGGCGAAATCTTCAATAGAAACTGTCATGTCGAACAAATCGATATTTCTTTATTGCACTTAAATTGAATAGACGTGCTGAAATATTAAAAATGTCTTTAATTTATGAATCAGGATTGTTTCAAGTCAAAGACCGCTATAATTATGTCTGCAGTTGGAAATATTAAACAACTGCTTCTGAAACTGTCAAATTCAAGTGAAGTTCATAAACGTCAAGGAAGTAAATCAATATGAATTCCGCGGATTGAGGTCCACTCAATTTTATTACAAGTGCTGAAAAATTAGGAATTAAGAAATTTCATACATTTCAGGGAAATTGACTTCTGACGTTTGAAAACTGTCATATTTATTATGTGAAGTTTAATAGATATCCATGGAAACAAATCAATGTGAATTCCGGTTGACGTCTTCCCGAAAATCAATAGACTACATGCAAATAATAGATCAATAGTTTTAAAGCAATGTAAGAATTTGAACTATGAATTGGTTTCGAAATTAATCGACGGCGGTGTGCGTAGTAGATGCGATCCATAATTATATTTCTGTATTTATTGATTCGAGAGAATGAATGTATAAAAATTCCAAATCCGGAACGACGGAAGTTCGTCGGAATCTAATCAATTTGCTCGTTTCATTACTTCCAGTTAATGAAGAATCTCTAAATGAGTTCACGGCGTATATGTGTAAAGATGCGATGAAGGTAAACCCGGATGACATAAGGAGACCGGTTGTTACGTCAGGGTTGTTACTTCAACCCCTTTTCCGAGCGAGGGGTGTAGGCGAAAATCGATACAGCGAAAACTAAATCGCACGAGACCGGACACGCACGCGACTGCAAAAATCAATTTCCTCGACGCCACAACCGCAATGCCATGAAGGAAAATTATAAACGAATTTCCACCGAAATCGATTATGCATTGTTTTTTTTTTGTTTTTGGAGTGCTAAGATGGTTGCTATTGATTTTTCCGCGCGTACAGATTTAACCCGATCCGCCGCCACCACCCAAAAACAAAAAAAAAATAGAAAATAGTTTTCCACAAATAAAATCCGCGAATCCACTCTGCTCTGTCTCTTTCGTCTGCAATAGTACGTCTCTCTCTTGTTTATTTCATTTAAATTGAACTTTAAAATTCTAGTAGAGTATTTAGTATTTTAGAAAATGCTCTTACCACACTGTTCTCACAGAGAGATCTGGATCGGTTATAGGTAGAAGCACTTTTATTTTTGCGTTTGCAGTGTGTGTCTGTACGTTCTACATAGACTTGGGTAGCGCGAGATTTCCAAATTCGATGTGCTCTGATGGTCTGTCGCCTTCTTTGCTGCTCAACAACCTCGCTCGGTTCTCACAAATTGACGTCTCCACACTGATCATAATCAAGTGTTGTAATGCACAAAAGGCTCCCATTGGTTGCTAGGGAGTCACGTGAGCAAATACAATTAAATCAGGAAGTGCTGCCAGGGGCGCATCCACCCTTCAACCATACATTCAAATACAAAATGAACTGTTTCTATCAACTCAAAATCGTTTATTCTAATTCGAAAATAATTTCTTAATCGAAATCCATAGTTTTCCATTTCGAATTACTCTCGGATTAATAGTTTTAGATGATTATTTCAAGTAAAGACGAGACGCCTATGAATTTAACTAGGACGCTTTTCGGGACGGAGAGTCTTCGAACTAAAATATAGATTACATTTAAAAGGTACCTATTTCGATGACGTCTGGAAACACCTGTTTTAACATAGGCTTCAAATAAGCCCAGAATATTCACTGGTTGCATAAAACTGCTGAAATTACTATACATTACATAACACAAAATTTGTGCGCATTTTAAAACTTTATACATCTTTGTTATTTTCCAATATACAAATATAATAAACATCACTTGAACTATTAAATGTAAAATATCTTTACTATTTAGTTCAATCAACTATATTTTAAATCTTTTATTGTGTTTATTTTGTGTTCAGATACGTTATTCATCAAAATAAATTAAATTATCACAATATAATTTCATTTTATTTGAGTATTCATACAATTTTGTACTTAAATATTGATTGTATTGCAATTAACTCAATAACATTTACAAAAATCAAATGATTTAACAAATATATTTGACAGGCAACACAATGTACTTTACTGCGAATTGATACAAGCGATCGAACAATATTATAGTCATTCGAATTTACACAGAAATGCTGAAACTTAATACTTTGATTAACTTTTATATTTGTGAAAACGAATTGCATAGTTTCCTATACAATAATAAACGTCATTCATTTATATAATAATAAATACGTATATGTGGTTATCTACAACCACATTCCAATTGGTTTATTTGGTTTAATTTATATTTTGCAAATTAAATGGAACGAATTGTTACAAATGAATTGTTAAACAATACAAAATGAAAGTATAAGTATAGTTTCATAATATTTAGCTATATCCGTGAAACGCCGCCACCTATCGGTTGTTTCTACATTTTTAAATTGAAATGTTATCTAACAGTAGATACATGTTTGGTTGCATACGTTGATATTAATAACAATAATTATATAGTGTCATGATCACATGAGTCGTCGTATGATAAGAATCGTATTGAATATAAACATAAAACATTTAAAGTATTTTAATATTTAAAAAAAATAATAAGTTAATGAATTTAATAATTTTGTTAGCATTTATGTAACCATATAAATGCTTGTTTGGTTGCCTATATAAGCAATAAGAAGTTTTGAATTATATAAGAATTTGTGTAGTATGTTTTTTTTCCTTTTACATAATTTACGAGAAGGGAAATAATTTAATACGTCCATCAATATTATTTGATAATTCGCTGCATATTTGTAAAACTATGGATTTGTTTTAACAAAGTTTGTAATAATTCAGGAATGCGAGTTCATTCATTTTTTGTTTTGTTTTAACTAAAATTTCAGTGTGTATTTTACAGGAATCCGCACGAAATATTCGTATATTAGAATACGGTGGCCGCGGGACCGTATTGAGCGCGAAATTTCAATTGAAATTTCCAACAATGACACAAGACACAGAGGCAATTGTGTAGTTCGGCAGCGTATATGACCGTAAAGCTCGATTTTACGCCCTTTTTAATCCGACGCGAGACGTATTTTACTATTTGGGCGCCGTTTTATGTGTGCACAGGAACGAATAAACAAACAAACAAACAAAAAAACAAAACAAAGTAAACGGAAAAAAACAGAGAGACAATACAGTAGGTTTTTGTTTGCAGCGCCGCCCTTAATGAAATTGGCCTTTTCTTAAGTAACGCGAAGATAAATCTTTGCAGGCTCGATACGTGCATATGAGGAGAGGAGAGTCTGGAGAGGAGAAAAAAGCAAGCAAAGAGAGGAAGCAGCAAATGGGCCCCAAATGTGCAATCGGTGTGCATTTTTATTACCATCGATACTTTGAGGGTGGGAATGGGAAGGAAGAAGGAATAAATTTCGAGCATCGATTCTCGTTCCCTACGACGACTGCGATGGTAGCAATAATAATGATAACGATAACAACATCGGGGTTGGCCACGCAAAGCTTTACATATATTAATCGTCAAATATTGATGGCGATGGGCGGCTGTTCAGAAAACAAACGCTTCGGAAACAAATTACATTTCAGTTGCAACGTATGCCGCCCCCAACCGCGCGCAATTTACGTGCGTTTGAGTTATCAAATAATTGAATTATTGGCTTATTGTTAAATGGAGAATAACAATGGCCATTATTCTGCTCTGTTGTTACTGCAAAGGGCAATTGTGTGCGTATGTGCGTCTCTGGAATACGGGGAGAGAAACAAAACACACACACACACGAAAAAAAAGAACGACGAAACAAAACATATATAGGCAATTGTTTGGAAAGGGATGATGAGGAGTACGAGTTGGCCGTGGATGTGGATGTGGAAGGGGACATCACGCAATGAAATTTGCGAAACGATTAAATACCGAATTAATGTATGGGTGGGTGTGGGAGGAGAAGGGAACATCCACTCGAACACACATCCATGCAAACATCCACTCTTTTCCATTGTTTTTTGCTCACCCGTCCGGATCAATGTAGGCCATGTTCACGTGTCCGATGTCACGTTCGAACCGTTGGTCGTCGCTCTTCCGGTTTTCCGGTCTGCGATCCGCACCGCAATTCGTCGACATCGCGCGACAATCATTGCGCCTCGAATTATCGCTGTGGCTGTGGAAACAGAATATAATGAACAAAAACAAAAAACAAAACGAAACAGTATATCAGGCTTAATTGCAATTGATGAAGCACTCAATCCCAACTTTTTTTTTGTTGTTTCTCTTTATTTGTTTTGACGCTGCTGCCTACGATAAAAATAAATATATAATTTGTGTGACGACCTAATATGTATAATATGTTCGTCGAATGAAATTCCAAAAATTTCCGCCACATAGCAAAAGCCGGTATTTCCGTGCATTATCGCAAAAACAACACATTTTCATATTTATTTAATCGGTTTAAACATACTCGTTTACACAACAAAAACAACTCGTCTCATAACTGCATTTGCTTTCATTAATTGATACATTGTAATACTGTTTGCTTTTATTTCTTAAATTGCAAAATTTGATAAATATTTCGAAATTTACTTATATAATAATAATTTCATATTTGGGTCATTTTTTTTTTGTTCACTAATTACTATTTAAATCACATTCCAATCAAAAGTCAGACGAGACAGAAGACAATTTGCAATTAGCGATTATAAATTATGATCGCGATATCAATAATTAATGTGGATGTGGACCAAGGTTTTACACAATTAATTTGAGACATTTGCAGTTGAGTCAACCGCACACGCTTGATTAATATTAATACAAAACAAAAATAAAAAATTAATTTAAAAAATAAATAAACAAATCATAAATATTGCATAACGTTAATTTCGAAGTAATTTGATGAGATTGAAGAATGAAGATGAAGTGAGAGAATTTCTTTGAGCGAAAGGCCAACTCGATTAGCCTCGAAACCTGCTTTCAGTTCAAAAACAAAATGAACATCTACACTCAGGTTAAAATTGTTGCATACATATTGAAAAAAAAAATAGCGACATTTTCGTATATTAAATAATTTAATCTACAAATTTAAATGTTTGCTTGTAATTATTGTAACAGCGACATCTTCTGGATTGATATTTTTTATGCAACAATTTATTAGGCACGTTTCAATAGTTGCATAAATTTGAATAGTTGCATAACATTTTAGCAGCGACATCTTTTAGAAATATATTATCATTGCTGTCTTGGATCATTAAAAGAATGCATCCAAAAGTGTATTAACGTTCATTCACGGCCTTCGCGACTTTAATTTATTATATAGGGAACACTATTGAAATTCAATGACGCTCTTCCTCTTCGCTCTTTCTTTCCGTTTATTTCTTCATTCTTTCCAAATGCATCGGGAAGAGATTCCCGCACCAAAAGCTTATGCTAAATCCACATATCAAGGACTTTTTTGTATTCCATTTCAGTCTGCGGTCTACAATTTGGTCTTGAGTTGAGCGTTAAAAGTTGAGAAAGGTTCGAGTTGAGGTTTTAATTTTGTTCATAAACAAATTAGTAAGCGGGGTTTTTCTCGGAAAAGAAAACAATTGCACGTTTGCTCTTCTTGCCGTACCTCACCGTACCAATGTCAAACTTTTGTTTTTTTTTTAATGCACAAAGACAAAGAGCAATCGCGTTTATTCAATATTTAAAGAGAAAAAAAACACATGGAAACGATTGTTTTCTTGCGGTGAAAAACACAAAGAAAAACACGTTTTTCTTGCATCAAACAATCGTGCACTGAAAATAGTTTTCCGATACAATAATTACAAATTAAAATTTCAAATTTAATTGAATATTTAATACCAATATTTCTTCATTCAAATGTAAACAAAAACTTTTTTTTACAATTTTATGTTTTATGCTTTATATATAATAAAAATCAATGATAATTTTTCTTTCTTTACGTTTATTGAATAAAAATGCATTCATATTCATGCATATCGTAAAGATTACAAGTTTATCGACGTTCTTGACGTAATAAAGTTCGATTTTTAATTTGTGTATCTTTATCTAGTGTTCGTATTAATGATCCAAAACTTTATTGTTTTTGAGGCAAATAATGCAGTGATTTTCATAAAAAAAAAATTATGTTTCTTCAAAATTATTAAGTTTTATTGTGTTATTGGCATCAATAGGAATGATTAATAAGTGTATTGTTTCAACTTGATATTGCAAACAATAGAAACTGAGATTTTTCTTTCGTCAAAGTGATCGATTTATGCAAACATTTAATTGCGAAGACTTACGTGGATTTGTAGAGTAAATCTCGGGCATTCAAGATCTCCAGCATGTTTTCTAATGGAC